TCTATTTGACTACATTTGTTGCTTTTCTAGTACCTAATTTAATAGGTACTAGTACCTATTTTCTAGTATCTTATTTAATTGTTTTGAAACAAGAAATACCTTTTGGTGGTAGTGACCTAGTTTAATACTTAAAGTTCTATAGGAATCCAGATCGAGATAGAATTAATTCCTAAATGTGTGGATAGCACATTGGTTTTTGAGGATCTCTTGCCTTTTTTTGAGAAGGGTAAAAAGATGTCAGATCAAAAAAATAACCCCCCAAAAAATTCACATAGAAAGCAAATGGCGAGTAGAAAGTATCTTTCTGGGGCTGCATACCCTTCTGAGTGAGAGAATAGAGCAGATTTTGTCTATGTGGATGCATTTCGGAGAAAAATGCCAGACTCCTGGAATGTGCAGGGAACTGCTCAAGAACAGAAAGGCTTTGGCTTTTCTACCATTTGTCTTCATGACTTGCATTGGATTTAAGAATATATACACATTTTGTTCTGAAATTACACCCTTCTGCCCCACCTAAGACATGTTGATTTGGATAAATCCATTCTGTTTCCCACATAGAGGTGCTAGTAAATGAAGATCTGGTGTTCTGTCTTTCTGTAGCATAGTTACAAGCACTTTTTGTTTTATTTTGTTTACATGGCTTCTTGATATGTATTCCTGGTTTGGCACAATATTAACTGGAAACAATCTCAGACTTTTCTGAACCTAGATTTGTCGAGCCTGAGGTTGGTATTTCTTCTCAAACACTGATGACTTTTTCTTTTCTTATAATAGAAGTTTAAAAAATAAAAGAAAGAAAGAATTGTGTAAAGAGAGAAATGTGTTTTGTTTGGCCTCCCTAAAATTCCACTTGGCAGCACCCAGCCTAGATTTCCGTACTCTGACTGCCCCGCAGCTGTGAAAGGCTAGAGGTTTTCAAGATGAGTTTTGTATTTTCATTCCTCTCCACTTTCCAGTTGTTAGTTGGAGCCACACTGGACAGCCGGAGTGAGTTTCTCTAATGAAACTTAGCAGCAGAAAATCAGTGTACAAGATGCACTTTGCAGTGGTATTAGGAAAAGGACTTCTTTTTTCAGATGATTGCTTTTTTCATGTCTTCTGTATTCACAGTGCCATCTATATGAACAGTGAATACATGTCAGATAGTTTCATAACTCATTGCAGGTTATTTGAAAATTGTGACATCAAAGTAACCCAAATTAAAAACAAAACAAAAAGTACCAGGTCTTCTTTGCATGAGTTACCCCTCCTGTGGGAAGTGACCCACTTTCCTGACATACTTGATATGCCCTGCACAGGTAAAGACCACAGTGCAGAATTCGTACAGTGATTTTCCCATGCTTTCCTGCTCTTTTGGGGGTAGAACATATTTTTCACATCCTAGCAGTGACCTGAGTTATCACTTTGACAGAGATGAAGCAGAGCACTGAGGAAACCTCTCCAAGGTCACCCAGTGGCCCAAGGTCACACAGTAGGGCCGGAGCAGAGCCAAAAACACACCTAACGACTGCTTCCTGGAGCTGTTAGCTGTGTGTGCCCTGACTCTGGGGCGCCCATGGAGGTCTTATCCAGGGCCTTTTCCCCCAGCTATTTGTGACTTCAGAAGCATGTGTAAACAGTATGCACATTCCATACAGACAGTGCCGTTCCCGCCCGGCTGGGCCTCCTGCGGGGCCCAGCAGCCTTCTCAGTTCTGAAGCAGAGGCATCGGGCTTGGCTGCTGCCTTCCACCAGCTCAAGTCACACTGAAGGGGTGGGCCGTGGGAGGAGCATAATGAAAGGGAAGAGGTAGTAGCGGAAAGCAGAATGGAAGAACAAAGAGAGATACACGAAGACAAGAGGGAGAAGGAGATGTTGCTTCCTGGGCTTTGGAGTTAGAAGGCTGGGTTCAGATCTTGACTCTGTAAGTTCCCAACTCTGTATTTCACTTAAACTGGGAACTCTTACCCAAATGTATTCATGGTGAACGACCTTGAGCTATCATTACTTGTCAAATAATGAAGACTCCCATTTGTACTGCTGTTTCCTAGCACTAATGTTAGAGGTCATATTTCTTCTACAGGGTGGAGGGCTTGGCGTGGCTGTGTCATGATGCAGAATCTACACAGAGTTTTAGCTAGACGATTGTTCTTGGTCACACAAAGAAGTTCAGAGATGGGGGCCTGGGCTAGCCAGAGGTTCACTGAGTGCAAAGAACTTCCTGGCTCCCTCCAACTGTTGCTCTTGACCACCCACATGATTGCAGGGAGGCTGCTGGAGCTCCGGCTACCACACCTTTGTTTCCTGGAGCAGTATGAATGAGGGACAGAAGGAAAGCCCAATGTGTTGCGAGGCGTCTTCCCAGAAATGCCGTATTTAACCTCTGCTTGGTCAGAATTTATCTTAGACTCGGTTTAAGGATCCTGGGAAGCATAGATTTCGCTGATTCCCCATTTTGTTTAGGGCCTTTCTGTGGATGATAGCAAGAAACATTGTAATCCTCAGGGAAATGTCTTAGAAATGAAAATTCATGATAATAATGGTAACTCACCTGTGAGGTACCACAGGCACCATGCTTACAGTTTTATAGGAGTTATTTCACTTAATACAAGTGTGATTATTCCTGTTTAACAGAAGAGAAACTGGGGCTTAAAAATGTAAGTAGTTTGCCCAGGGTTATGTCACCACTAGGGAGTAGAGCTAAAGCTCACAACCACACTTGGCTTTTCTTGGTGGCTTATTTATATCTACAGTGGCATTTATAAAACCTTGTCTCCTTTTTGTTCTGTGGTCTTAGCTTCCTGTCTCTGAGACACACGCACACACACGCACACACCTTATCTGATTTTTCTGAAGCTTGACTACTTTGTACTTGTGTAAAGAAGGCGCTTTTTACTGTTTCGTGAGTGGATGGTGACTTGTCCCCCTATGTTGGTCAGGAGCCTGTGTGTGTGAGTTGCAAGCAGTTTGTTCCCTTGTTCCTGGGCAATGCTTTTGCAGGTACTGCCATAAAGGCTACTGGGGTTCACGGAGTGGTAAGGAAGGTCCCTTCCCCAAAGACAGTCACGATGCACTTCTTCAGAGAGTGGATTTCAGACGAGCCTGTTAACATCCAATTAGACAGTACATGCAAATCATAGTTGACCTAGATATAGACACCCATTTGGTCCTTATAATTACAAATGTGTCATTGTCCCTCTAATGGCCACCCATCCCTTTAAAACATTCCTAAGAAATTACACAGAGTAAATCAGCAGTGTATCTTAGCACTCTTCGTATTTTCCCCTTAAACAACACAGTTTGTGTTGTTGTGACAGTAATCAAAAGCTTGTTGATGTTAGTTTATATAAAGAAGATGGTTAATTATGATGCCTGTTATGTAAAACGAGGTGTTCAGCAGGTCTGTTTGTACACGTAATTTAACTCCTATTTTACGATATTTTGTATAGTGTCAAGAATACAGACCAAGGGTATTAGAAGCCAGAACCAAGGCAGGGCGAAATTTGGGGTAAAGCCTGTCAGTACCGGTTTGTATCCAGTAATCATGGTGCACTCGTCACAAGATTTGAGAAAAACAGTGTTTCCTCTGGTAGGTTAGAGAGGGGAGACCATCACCCAGGATATGAAGATGACAAAATCTCCATATATTCAGAGGAGGGAGTGCACAAACTTACTGTGTCCATTTTTCCTTTGCTTAGTTTTCTAGCAAGTTGTGCTTTACATAAAGTTATTTCTTTATACATGTCTTTATAAAGGACTCCTTTTTTCTGGCTCACAGCTACTTACAAATTATTTTGGCCCATTTCCTGATTGTGAACATGTGGAGATGTTTTGTTCCATGTGGGAAGGTGATTTATTCCCATTGGTCTGAATACACACTCTGTCTCTTGGTTCATTCTCAACTCTTCAGGTACTTATCTGTTTGAAAGTCGGATCTTTTCTGTGCTCGGGCTGCCTGTCGTCCGTCATGTGCCTGGACACTGTAGACACCAACCCTTCCTTTCATCTTTAATGCCTCAATGAACTTTACTCCGTCATGGAAAACTTACAATGTCTGGTTGCACTTGATATAATGACCTTTATTATTACCTCGAATGAATTTTACTTGGAAAACTTACAACTTTGAGCCCATCAATAATGATGAATAGTATTTATGTAGAGTTTTATAATTAAACAAATAAAAATACTGTTCTTTGCCATATCGAGCCCTCCCTGTACCACGGAGGTAAATGGCGTATGCTCATCCGAGACTTCATGCCGTCACCGTGAGGTTAACAGGACAGACACGGTTCCTGCTGCCCAGACCTGGCGGGAGAGGGGCCTGTGAGTGGTTTGACATCAGGGCTGCATGCGGGGTCTGCGGCTGCAAGAACTGGAGCACCTCTGCCTTGGTCCCTGCTGGCCGTGTAAGAGCCTAAGTGTCCTGGTGCTGGACTGCAAGGGCAGGGGTAGGAGACTTCGAGAGTCTCCCAGACCTGCCCGAGTGTAGGGTGGCTCTTCCTCGGCAGTGTGTCGCTGTGAGCCCTCGACTTGGTGATGATAAAATCAAAGTGTAGAGAGGAAACTTCCTCACAGTAAGGCGAGCGTTCAGTGAATCCAGGGGGCAGAGGTGTGGGAACGCTGCTGGTGCCACTGGGTAGGTGTAAGATAAAGCCCTGGAATACGGAGGGAACACACAGAGGGCTTGGCGGCTGACTGCACAGGGAAGGAAAAGTGTTGAGTGCTGAGCACTCTGGGACGCCATGTAAGGCTGAGCCAAGGACTCCCAGAGAAGCCCAGGCAGTCCTCGGGCCTTCCGGGAGCCCTCTGGACCATCTCCTGCAGGCAGGGTCCCCCCTTCCCTTCGGGACAGGCCCGGCCTGGTCCTCTCTGCTCTGCCCTGCAGGGTGCGGCGTCCCCCAGCCTGGAGAGGAGAGGACAGGCCAGGCCAGGACTCCAGGGCGTGTCTGTCCCAGGGGTGTGGGCCCCAGCTCCCTGACGCCTCACCACTCCTGCTGACTGCTGACTCTGTTACGTCCTAGGCGTTTTTTGTGGACCACAACTCCCGGACCACCACGTTCATCGACCCGAGGCTCCCGCTGCAGAGCAGCAGGCCCACGAGCGCGCTGGCCCATCGGCAGCACCTGACCAGGCAGCGCAGCCACAGCGCCGGGGAGGTGAGGGCCAGAGCCCCGGCGGTGGCTCTGGAAACTGGGCAGCTTCTCACCTTGGGGTCTGCTTGTGTTTGTAGTTTGATTTAAAGAATATCATCAGGGGCTGAAAAGCTTTGGAATGTTGACAGGGCTTCTCTGGAAAGGCACACAGCCTTAGTTATAAATTTTAAATGTGAAACACACAAGGAAACAGTAAAGAGTAGTTTTGTTTTTAAATTCAGAGGAAGGTGAGAGGGAGCTGACGACGTGTTAGGAGACAATCATGGATGGCAAACATGCACTAGTAAAAATAAAAAGGGAAGAAATGGATGCAGGTTTCCGTGGGCTAAGATTTTGTTCAGCGCAGGGAAGAATTTCTTGAGCTTTGCTGGCTCATATTAAAGTGTTCATTCACAGCACTGGTGGACAACCCTCTGCGGTGTCCCTTAAAGCTAGACACTCCCGAGTCGCTCTGCCTGGCCGGCCCGCAGTGGCCCGTGGAAGCCACACGAGGGCCCTCCAGTGTCCTGACCCAAACTCCAAGATCCCTTCTTTCACTCCCCCCCCCCCCCCGCAGCCTGGGTGAATTGGAGGTGTGTCTTAGCTGAGTTTTCTTCCCCTTAGTAAGCGCTTATGCTTCAGTGTAATCACTGCTTGGTATGCATTGTTTCTAAAACTTCCCTCAGACAAACAGAATTAGGATTCTTTTCCTGCATACCTTTTCTGACTTGGTGCCTCTCATATTTTCAATCTTATACTGTAGGTCAAATATTTTTGTAGCCTTTCTTACAAGAAAAAATTATGAATGCAATAAATAACTGGATTCGATTCATCAAAATTCCAGTCTTGGAATTTCCCCTCATGATTTACTTACTTGCCCTAGTGCACCGTGTGCTTGCTGGTTGGTGCAGACATAGAAGAGTGCACACAAGGAGCGCATTTGAAAATGATACATAAATCTATCGCAGGGCAAAGTATGCACCAAAATATTTATGTTTTATGAGTGGCTAATAAATCTTTACCTTGCTGTCTTGTAAACCATCAGCGGTGAGCTGGAGGACATAGGAGCGTTTATCTGAAAACAGAACAGAACTCTCACCTTCAGACCTGGGCTCCTCTCTCACGTAACTGGGACTTGGTGTGGCCTCGTCACATGCCCGGTGCCCTTTAGCCACTTCCCTTATCCTGGCAGCTTTCCTGGGAGCACACACACAGGAGTAACAGATGTACTACGTGTCCTTTCAATCCTTCCCCTCGGGACTGAATTATTTTCATGGCCCAGTACTAGCCTCACGGGAGAGAGGTCTTTCGCAGTGTATCAACACTGGGAGGAACATTTATCTTCTGCTGATAGAGACTGAGCTGTGGAGCCGAGGCACCCTCGGAGATGCAGCACTCGGCCACAGCACGGTCAGACCTGGCGGGAAGGGTCACACGGAGGCAGCTGTTGGAAGCCTGCACATCTCGAAGCTCTACCCACCCTTACCAGAGTTTTCAGGAAGTGAGATCTCCAAGACCTTTGGCTGTTCAGGGAAGTGGTGATAGGTGACAACACACCGTGAGGAGGGAAGTTACACAAATATTGGTGTGTTGAGACGCTAAATTCTCTGACAGACAACCTGTAGTGAGTGGCTGAATCTCCAGAGTGGTTGAATCCACTGCTCAAAGCCAGTAACTCAAGGCAAGAGGGCAGAAGAATGTCTAGTTATGAGTCTTCCCAGCCACTGTCCTGTATCCCAATATTAAAATATTCCAGTCAGGAGAAATATTCATATCTCTTCCATCCTACTGAGTAATACCAAATACCTTCTACAGTATAGAAACATGGTGGTTGGCATCCTGGGGAATAAAAATAATTATCTCATTTCCCTTAATAAGGAAAGTAGAAAATCACAATTCAAATGAATAAAATTATGAGTGAAAAAACCTAAACTGTTTTTTAGTAGTTGAGAAAGAAAACTCTACTTAAATAGTCTTTTTTAGATAATTGTGGATTTTTTTTCTGCTTATTTCTTTCCACATTTATTAAGGTATAGCTGACAAATAATATAAACTGTTCATAAAGACAGCTGCTTTAGAAATGTATGGTAGGTGCTACAGGAGCAGAGTAAAGTTTTCCTTTAACTTCCGCTCGAAGGACATTTTGAAGAATGAGCGAGAACATTGTGGAAGGATAAGCAAGCAGGGATGTGGAGAGGCTCTTTGCAGTGTGAGGGCCTTTGGAAAGTCCTCGGCAAACATTGCACAGATATAATCTGAGAAAACAATTGTGAAGGCTTTCAGTGGGTAGAAAGAGAAGTTTCCTGTTAAAAGTACCAATTTAAAAACCCAGTATGTTATTTATTGCCTCTTGTTCTCTTACTCTTTCACACCACGGTTCTACTCCTGGAGCATGGAAGGAAGGGCTAGGAGAGAACCAGAAGCAACCGTGGAGCCTTCCGTACCCACGAGTGGGTGTTCTCAGCTGTCTCCTTGTATGTTTGCATTTCTGAGCCTGCTGCAGGCACAGTACATAATTCATGTTAGGGCAATCCTATTTAGCTCCTCTGCACCTGCCACTGTTAGCTCCCTGGTGTGGGAGGCTCAAACCGGAAAGCGCTGTCCTGCAGGTGCTATAATAGGCATGCAGCATTGCTTCTGAGGAGACAATACGCCAGCTTGGGGAGATCCCGGTGAGAGCCCTCCTCTGCTGAGACAGGGAATTCCCTGCCCGCCTCAGCCAGAAGAGGGAACCTCCTGGTGCTGGCCCAGTGCATGGAACCACCCCATTCCTCCTGTGACTGTCAGGGTGCAGGTTTGGGTTTTGTCCATGCAGAAGTTATTCCTGATCAACAAGTCTGCTCTTTAGCTGCCGTAGCCTCAGCGATTACATGTGTGTGGAGCCATTCAGTGTCACCTGTAGTCACTGCCCCCTGCCTCTCAGGGAAAGGGGTGCCCGACCCTTCTCACTCAGCCACTGGAGCAGGGGTTTGGGGGTCTGACTTCAGGGCCGCTGCCGGCAACGCCTGTTCTGATGGGTTGGGTCTGCCATGCTGGTTGCTGAGCATTTTGAGCAGCTGGGCTTGGGCTGCTGATGCGCAGCTCTGTGGGTCTGGGTGCAGAACATAAACAATGTTTGCCTTCGCAGGTGGGAGAGGACTCGCGGCACGCAGGGCCACCCGTCCTCCCCAGGCCGTCCAGTACATTCAGCACTGTGAGCAGGCCGCAGTACCAGGACATGGTGCCAGTGGGTATGTCACCCTCCCCAGCGCCGCCTTTGCCTGCGTGTTGCTGTACACCATACAGAGCATCCGGGCAGCTCCTCGCTGTCAGTTTCCTTTGGCCCCGTATTGAGAAACTATTCCATTATCCTTAAATTGATAACAGAGTCCTAGAGACTTGCATCTGAGAGGGCTTCTGTCTCGTAAGACCCTATAGGGTGAGATTTTTAAACACCGCTCTACCTTCTCTGTGTAGAAGTATTACATGGTCTAAGTCAAGGAAAAACAATTTACTAAAGCAATTTATTGCTCAGTCATTATAAATACGCATTTGAACATGCATAGACTTAGGATATATTTAAGGTGTGAGACTGAATTTAAATGCTGTTTGAATATGTGGTAGCTTCATGAGGTAGCCAAGCCAGAATAGCACATCCTTAAGGATTTTTGTAGCAAATAGAAGATGGCAAGAGCCTGCTGGATGATAGACTAAAAATAAATGAAGACAGGCATACTGGGCTAAAAAACAGCTAACGAGTGTTGTTGTTAAAATGATGAAGTTGAAGTAGCTTTGTGGTTTTCAGACCTGCGGTCCCTAAGGCAAATGGAGTGGACAGACAGGTTTAAGACCATACGGACCCCTTCCCCATCTTAAATTAGAGCAGATGCATATATTGTCTGGTACATTGTCTGTTTAAATTTTTACTTTAAAATAAACTTTGTCATGAAATGCAATATAATGCCCGTGATTTAAAGAAGTTTGACAACCACTGGATAAGAACAAGCCTAACATCGCTAACTGTCTACATTTTATTTTCATTACCAATATGATACTGAACATTGCACATACAGTTTTAAAAGTGTTACAAAATTGTTGCTTAAAAAGTTGTCTAGTTTCTGATCATGAATACAAAGACTGATTCAATTTTATAAGTGTTTTCAGTTCATAATGAAATGCATGTTTAGGCATACTTTGAGTTACACTGGAATGCCATTTTAGCAGGCTTGTTTTAAAAATGTTTATCCACATTTGACTATAATATGTATGTACAGGCAGCATAGGGTAACAAAGTTTCAGATGGCAAATGTCTACTGAATTGTACTTCTTTTATTTAATCATTTGTCAGTTTAAGAAAGGCTTGTATCTTGATCACATTTACAAAAACCTAAGTGTTGACTGGCTTCGGATCTCTGATATATGAGAGTTCACACACTCAGTCTGAGTTTTGTGAATTTAAATATATTCATGCCTAGTTCTGATTACTAATAATATAGTTAACCTGAATCATTGTAAGTAAACACATTCATTTTCTTGACAAAGAGATATTAACAGAGCCTTAGGCAATTGTAATTAACCGTTTTAAAATTTCTTTAGCCATCCTTGAGTAGCAGGCAGCCTTGCAGAAAATGTGTTCTGTGTACATTGATGACAGTTTTTTTGAGCTGTTCCTGTAGCTGTTTGGTAACTAGCGATTTGTGGCTTAGTGGTGAGGAGTTTGAGGGTAGTCTGTCCTCTGCATTTGGACTGTAGCTGTCCCTGCATTTGGGGGACACCAGTTCTGCCTCACTACCTCTCTGGCTGTCTTAAGATTTATTCAGAAAATTGTTTCTCATTTCTAACTGTTGTCATTTCTGTGAGGTTTATTTTAGTAAACTCAAAATGGCTGATATCTAGTGTCTTGTTGGTGAACTTTTCACTTGATAATAAATAGGTTCATTATATGATGGTTTTGGGGTTTTTTTTTGGTACCGGGGATCGAACTCAGGTCCTTGCGCTTGTGCAGCAGGCGGTGAAACCACTGAGCCAAATCCCCGGCCCTATTATATGAGTTTAATAAGAGTACTTAGGGCCGGGGATTTGGCTCAGTGGCACCGTGCCTGCCTTGAAACCGCAAGGTCCTGAGTTCGATCCCCAGTACCAAAAATAAATAAATATATAAATAAATAAAAGAATACTTAAGTAAGCCACACCTCTCAGGTAGGAGACTAACGCTCATACAGCGGGTCAGACACAAAGTGGAACATATGCATCTGTGATGGTAGTAGCAGGGTAGTTTCAAAGTATTAATTTGAGTACAAAGAATATCAATTAGAAGAACAGACTTTAAAGCTTGGTTTTATATGGGCAAAATGAATAACAGATTTTTTTAAAGTTATCATCTTTTCTGATTTTTCTCAGCTTACAATGACAAGATTGTTGCATTTCTGCGTCAACCCAATATCTTTGAAATTCTGCAGGAGCGTCAGCCTGATCTCACCAGAAATCACTCACTCAGGTAACTGCAGTATTGGATTGGGCTGAAGTTGACTAAGCTCCAACCATTAAATCTGGGCAACGCTGATCATCATCTTGTGAATTCACTCTTTCTGACGTTCTTTACAAAGGCATGTTACGTACAGATATTTCATGTAGTCAGCACCAAGTCGTTGTAGCCCTGGCTTCTCTTGGTTAAATTTAAGAGTTCAGTAAGATTAGCTAAACAACCTAGAAGCCCCCTTGAAGAAGAAATGTGAAAAAGCAAAAATTTAGGTAAGAAGGCAGCCTGGATGTGCAGATTATGATGAAAACAGTAAGACTCCAGCCTTTGGAGTGTGGCTTCAGTAAACAAAGTATCAGTTTATTGAATCAGACCTGCTCATTCCTGGACTCAGGACTCACACTTTTCCATAATAAAAACAGTGGGTCTCGAACAGGGGTGCTCATTCTCTCTGCAGCCCAGCCTTGCCCGGCCGGAACCCTTCTTCTAAACAGCTCCCCAGTGCTCCTCTTTCCTGGCAAGCTTTTCTCTTCTCAGTTTGGCAAGAAGGACCTTTCTTTTAACACCCAGGGCAAGTCCTCCTTCCTTGAAATCTTCCAACTCCACTGTGGACTCAGTCTGGCGACCGAGGCTAGTACAGCAGTACCTTGGTTCATGAACTTAATTCTTTCCACAAACCTGGTCAAGAACCAAATCAATTTTCCCCATAAAGTTCAGAAGAGCTCATGAGTGGAAGCACAATTTTGATGAATGGGGCCAGGTATTTAGCTCAGCAGTACCATGCCTACCTTGCAAGCACAAGGTCCTCGGTTCGTTATCCAGTACCAAAAAAAAAAAAAAATTGATGAATGCTTCTGTTTATGAACCGAATTGCTCTCAAATAGAAATGTTCGTGAACGGAGGTACCACTGTACTTTTCAATCTCGGGAGATTGGGCATCAGCGGGGATGGAAAAGAGGAGTTTCTGCTGAAATTCTTACGTAACCCAAAGCCTGTTTGGCCCATATGCCTGCTGTACTAGTAGAAATGTGTTCGCCTATACAATATAGAATTCCAGCCGGTTGTGTAGCACATGTCTGTAATCCTAGCATTCTGGGAAGCTGAGGCACAGGGCTTGAAAACTCCAGCCCAGCGTTAAGGACTCAGCGAGACCTTATTTCAAACTAAAAAGCCAAAAAGGGCAGGGGGTGTAGCTCTGTGTGAAGGCCGTGGTTTCAGCCACCATCATAAGGGGAGAGTCTCATGCAGCTGCTTTCCTTTCTCTGAGCCTGTCCTCCTCCACTGCCCAGAAATTGAAATCAAGAGGTCCGGAGTGAAGCCCAAGCTTTATTTTCTTTAAATCTCTCTGTATCATTTTGTGGCACTTCCAGGTATAATAACTTCCGGTCTAGACCCTAAGTTGATGATTAATCATGTACTGCATCAAATTGGTTTTTGTACTCTTTCGACTATTTGGCGTTCATGCTTTAATTTGATTTTTCAAGTACTTATGCTTTATTTTCCAATTAGATTATAAGATGCTCACAAATACGAATCTTATCCAACTCATTATCCCTTCTTACTAATCCAGTATCCAGAATAGCACTTTGCATACAGTGAATATGTGGGTAGATAATTTGTTAATTTGAAAATAAATTACCAAATATTAACATGATTTTCTCAGTTTCTCATGTCTTAAAGTTGTTATCACTTTTACAGTTTCTAAAGGATAAAATTACACAGAATTTCAAGTACATTACAGATGTTGCTAATATAGAAATCCTGTTTCACACAACTAACATCGAAGTTAAATGTGAGTGCCTTCCCTCATACAAGCTTGATATTCTAGATCACACACAGAAAAAGTAAAAATAAAAAGTACCCAAGTGTGGATTTTGTAGGTTTGTTTATCATGGCGTCCACTCAGCAGCCTGTGGTCCCCTAGGGAATCTTGCATAAGACGTTTTAGTTAATGAAGTTGCAGAAATAAGTTTCTCCGTGGTCTAATTAAAGATTTTAGAGAGTCTGAACCTCAGAACTAAGCAAACAAATGAAATTTTTCCCCTTTTGCTAATCACAGGATAAAGAAAACTCCATTTTCTCTCTGTTCCACCTCACCCGGCGCAGCACCCCAGACACCATCGCGCACGCCCCTCTAGTTAATGTCTTGCTCTCTGAAAGTGCCCCAGCCTCCACAAAAAGAGTGAGAAACAAGAAACTCAAGAAGTTTTCCAACTTTGCACTGTACTGTACATTGTAATTTAAAATGATTAGCATATTTTTAAATCTCTACCTTTGGACATACTAGGCCATTTAATTCACCTAAACTTTATCGTTCTCCTCTAAGGACTTGATAGAACCTTAACAGAGTCCAACTGGGGAAAGCTGCAGGCTACAGTTGAGAATTTCCAGTTTTATTTTTGTTTTCTTTCTGCTTTTTAGAGTCTTACAAGACTCTAATCTTCTAAAGACTGCTAAAGATTTTTATTTTTTAGTGGAGTCCTCAGTTAAACAAAATCTTTCTTCTAGCATAGATCTCACATGGTGATCTTTTAACTAAGAACTTATTTAGTAGGCTTTGAATATGTATGCATCTGTTTATCTTTAAAAACTCTTCACAGAACTTGACCATGGAAAGCAAATGCAGCTGTGACAAGTAGGAGGAAGTAGGGATTTAAACTAGTGAGATAATTCCTGCCCTTTTACCCAGAGTATTGGTCACACTGCACTTTCATTTTCTGAAGTTTTTTTTAGTAGTTAAGCACTTTACTTATCATGGCAACATAAAGGGGAAGTTTGTGTAACCGGGGGAACATTCTGTTTCATACAGTTAGGAACTGCATAAGGAGCATTCCCACAAATTCGAGGGTGGAGCACCAGCTGGGTTATTAATCTCATGTTGTAGTGACATTTGTGATAACACAGTGTGTTAGTCACCTTTTCATCAGTATCACAAAACATCTGAGATAATTAACTTATAAAGAGAAAAGTTTTATTTTAGCTCAGAGTCTTGGAGATTCTGGGCCACGATCAGACAGACCCAATGTTTTTGTTTGGTACCGGGATCGAACTCGGGACCTTGTGCTTTCGAGGCAGGCGGTGGCACCACTGAGCTAAATCCTCAGCCCCAGATGCAATGTTTTTATGCCTCTGGTGGGGGAGTTGGATGGCAAAGTCTGTTTTGGCTCACAGTTTCAGTGGGGTCAGTTCATGGTTGGCTGGCTCCAAGGCAGAAATAGCATGGCAGAAGGGCATGGCAGACAAAAGCTGCTCACCCAATGGCAGCTAGAAAGCAGAGAGAGAATGGTGGAGCTGGGGATAAAAATGGCCTCTTCCAGGTCACATTCCAGTGACCTTCTCCAGCCAGGTACCACCTCCAAAGAACACATTCAGCCATAAACTCATCCATCGACAAACCCTCTGATGAGTAGAGCACCCCTCCAAACACAGAGACTTCAAGGGGACTTTTTGATCCAAACCTTAACACCAGTGTAGCATTTGATGCAGTCTTCCTTATCTGTGTCCCAGGCACTTAAATAATCGTTGTGTTTCCTCCTTAATATAATGAGGAAATAAAGAGTAGCCCTTGGCAGGTTGAAGTAGGCCTACCTCTTTATTTTGTGTTTTTCCTTTTCATGGTTTCTTCTAATCCAGGAGGTAGCAAGCTGTTGGTTTAGATTGTATTCATGTGTAGCTCCTTCTCCCTTGAGACTCCACTGCATGCATTTCCTCTAAAATGACTGTGGATTTCCATGCAACAGAACCTGGCCTTCACCTTCAACTGCTACACTGAAATCACTTCTCCTAACTTCATGTGTCATGCAAGTGTGAATGCTACCAAGTTGTTGTCCCTTCTCTCTGATTTTTTCTCCCTTAATCTTGAAAGAGGTTTATTGACCCAGTTGGGAAAATCAGCATCGAAATCTGCTCCCCCTACCCCCGTGAGGTGATGTGCATCTCCACTGGGTGCCATACCTGACCGCTGGTTCTCACCAGAAGGCAGTAATCGCACCCAGATGCGCATATGCTGTGATGTGAAGACAGGAGCTGAAGTAATGTGGTCTAATCGGATATCTAATTACAAATGTCATTTATAGTAACTTTTAATAAAACTGTATTGGTGAATATAATGCATACAAATTCAATAAAACTTAGTTCTGCTGTTTGTGCACTATTCTATTGTGACAAAGAACCTGAATGTGATAAACCTGAACTGAGTTGAGAATTTCCTGTCTTCTGTGATTATTAGGTCCAGCCATTAAATCTCCTGGAGGCCAGTCCTGATCTCCCCAAACATCAGTGATAATTACTTTGGGCACAAGGATGAGTCTTCTTTGACTGACATGGAAATTCCCTTACCACAAAAATGTGAACTGTGATACTTTTAGTTGCCTTGTCTGAAGAATGTGATCAGTGCAACATTCGACTGCATAAATCAAGCCATTCTGTATTTTATGTTATTAGTAAATCAGTAACTTGGAGGCCCAAGAAATTCAGAGCCACAAAAGGCAAATAATACATGTTTCTAGATTCACCAGACTAGAAGCAAATGCACTCAGACCTACATCTTTCCATCATCCTATTTTGGGAGCTTTGTAGCTTTGTTATAGTTTGATTTTATTCTTAATTTGAAAAATAACATTTGCCCATTTTAAAGTGATCAAACAATACAGAAGTTTGCAGAACTTCTAAAAGCTGGCTGATATTAAACTCCATTGTTCAAAATTTCTAACCTATTTCTTGTCCAACTTCATAGCAAATTAATTTTTCTACATTTAATATTGGGCTGGAAATTTTAATCTGTTAAGCATCTGAACTCCTTGGTCTAAATAGCATGTACTTACTTGTGCTCATCCTGATGCATTTCCTGTTGTTGTTGTTATTGTTAGTCCCTGTGCAGCCCTGTCTCTGAGTTCTCCTGTCATTTGCTTACTGGTCATTCATGTGTCTGGAAGTCATCAGATCTTTCTTGTACTAACTTCAGATAGTTTAAAATCCAGATTGGGATTGTCATTTTCCTGTGGACCATTGGCACAAGC